GAAATTTTCCAATAAATTTTCATCTTTCAAGAATGATAGAAAGAAAACAACGATACGTTTGGACGAGGTGAATTCCGTGGCCTTTCGTTTCAGCCTCATCTGCAGTTCGAGAATCGCTCGAGTTCCACCGTGTTCACAAACGAGTGCCAACCGGAAAACCGATTCGCTGCGGCCACCGGTGTGGCAGTAACAGCGACCTTTGCTAAGCAGAACGAGAATAGTTCACGCACAGTCACGATAGATTCTCCTCGTCCGACATAGACATGATTTCGCGACTGAAAATAGACTGGTAAAGGCTGGCTGACGATCGTGACCCGATGCATGTACACTCTCGTTCGTAAATCGCCGGGCAAAATGATCAATGCAAACCTCATGCATGATTTCGTTGCCTTTCATCTTATCGTATCACACTGGAATGCGTAGAATTTAATACTGATGGATTATATTATGTTGTATTAACATTTCAGATTATATTTTCTTGTTCAATGTTTATCGTAATGTTATGTCATCGGTATTACGTGGAATTTAACATTGACAGATTATATATCGCGTTGTTACATTATTTTATATTTATCTAACTTCGAAGTTGGGATAATGCTTGTAATTTTATCAACTTTATCGACGAGTTGGAAATTCGAAGCCTTCGATGCGGAACGATGAGTTCACGACCGAAAGATCCAAATACCATTTATAATTTTATGATTTTATTGATTTTTATTGATCCAAATACCATTTTAATGATCGAAATACCATTTATAATTTTATGATTTTATATTTATGATTTTAGTGAAAATTGAAGAAATTAAACGTTCTACAATAATAACAACTCGATCGTCACGTGATTGAAGACCGATGAAGGTGAAATTTTATACTTTTCAACATATCGACGATCTGTACGAATTATTCGAAGTTGGAAATCTTAGTTTTGTTAAATTTAAGCTCGATTTGTGGACGAGAGTGTACGTTCGATTTCGAGCACCGAGTCAGAAGTCCGGTTTTCGCGTGGGTCGCCGCTATTAATCATTCAACAACCTCTGTACACCATTACGAACGCACAGAAACGAAAAACATTGATTTCGAAAGTGAAGAGCTGAGATTCCCTGGCTTAGCTTAGAGATCGTTGCGCTGCCGCTGCCAAAACGAGAACG